ACACACACACACACACACACACACACACACACACACACACACACACACACACACTCACACACACACAAACAAACACACACACACACACACAGACATACAGAACCACATAGAGAGGTGCACATAGTTAACACCTCCAATATATTAGATTGTTCATCGATTCTGTTCATCTCTGTTCAATAACGCTACAGAGTGAAAGTAATCTCCCATGTTATTTTGTTATCGTGTGTTCATTTATCTGTTCACACATAGGTTATACATTTTGGTTTATCTATGTATGCGTTTCTTCGTCTGTTCACCAACTTGTTCGTATGAATATTTTCATAGTTTCTTGTTAACTTGCCTATATACTTATGTTATGTGTATTTATTCATTTATCTCATTATTCATGTGTTTATTCAGTTTATCTATCCATCTTTCTATTTCTTTAATTATATATTAATTATATCATATTACATATCATATTAATTATAATTACTCTTGGAAATTAATCGATGTAGTTCGTGTTATTAATTATCTTTATTGCAGTCATTATTACCATTATTGATATCGTTGCGTTTAGCATTACAGCAATTTAGCTTATAATCATCATAATTGCATCGCTGTTCTGTCTTCATTTTCATCATTATCACTATATTCTTTTTCCTCTTTGCTTTATCACCATTACCGCTGTTAACATCACTATTACCATCATCGTCATCATCATCAGCATCCTCATCGTCATCATCATCGTCATCATCATCGTCATCCTCATCGTCATCATCATCGTCATCATCATCGTCATCCTCATCGTCATCATCATCGTCATCATCATCGTCATCATCATCGTCATTATCATCGTCATCATCAACACCATCACCATCATTTTTATCTTTATCATCACCATCACTATTATCACCACACCTATTACCATTTAAATCCACCTTTATCACCATAATCACCCCCCCCCTACCGTCGATAATTAACCTATAAAATAATTAATGACGTAATTACAGCCTTCTTCCGGTCACCAGCACAGTTGCCAACTCGTGATTTTCTCCCCCCCCCCCCCCCCGTCATTTTCATAAGCGCGTTGCGTTGTCTATTTTCTTCGGAAAAATCTTGGAGCACGAAATAACACGGTTGAAATGGAAAGTTATTTTTTTAACGAAAGACTGAAGCTGTTTTCTTTCTGCTATTTGTCTGTTTTTCGATCGACAAGAGTTTCTATATGTCTGTCTATGCATGCATGTATTTATTTATGTATCATCATCATCATTAGTAGTAGTAGTAGTAGTAGTAGTAGTAGTATTGTTATTATTATTATTATTATTATTATTATTATTATTATTATTATTATTATCATTATTAGCTGCAGCAGTAGTAGTAGTAGTAGTAATGTTATTATCATTATTATCATTATCATTATTATTATTATTATTATTACTACCGTCTTAATGTTGATATCATTATATATTTTTTTCTTTATGGCCACGTGTATTGTTACTCAGGCCATTATCTTTAAGATTAATATAGTTACAATTATTATTTTTTGTTTTAATTACTCTCATTATTATTAACATAACCATCGCTGTTATCATCATCATCACCATCATCATTGTTATCATTAATGTTATCATTACTAACATCATCATCATCATCAACATCGTCTTCATCATCATCATCATCATTATTGCTAATATATTCGTCAATAGCACATTATTATCATTTTCATTTAGTATTACTATCATCATTATCACCATCATTATCTCTATTGTTATTATGTTTTCATTTATAACTGCAATATTTAATGTACTTAAAGTTATTTTTCTTGTACTTCCATTTTGTACTTCGGAATATATTCAGTTTTATGAAGGGGAAAATATAGAATGCATATCATTTGTATGTAAAGTGTAATATACTTTATTAAATCAGAACGGAAATAAGGTTAATAAAGTAAATGAAATGAGAAATACAAAAGAATTTATGAATGTGGAATGAAAGGCAATAACAGACAAAAAAATATGTTAAATACAATAATAAGAACAGGAAAAGAAAACATCATTAGTAATCATAAGGCAGTTGTGGGCATGGCGTTTGGTACCCTTGCTCGGTCTTCGTAACAGTGAGGTATTGAGGTACCACTTGCGTTTGGTACTGGGTCTGGTATTGCACTTGGGTCGTAGTCACGTACTGGGGAACGTACTGGGTGTTGTACTGTGTCTGGTACTGGGTCGTGGTAACGTACTGAGTTTGGTACTGGGTATCGGTGATGTACTGGGGTGCGTAGGCCGTAGAGGTGACGTAATAAGGACTGTACTGGGTCTGGTACTGGTATTCTGTCTCCGTGACGTACTGGACATCGGTTTTGTACACTGTTTCCGTGACGTACTGGGGGATGTATTGTGGTACGTGCTGGGTGTTGTAGTGGGTGACGTACTGCGTCTGGTAGAGTGTGGTTGGCACGACTTGGGTTTGGTAGATCGTCTCGTAAACCGGGACCTGGAAGAGACAAAAGAAAACGATAATAATGAAGGATAAACGGATAGATAGATAGAATCAGTTCATAGAATAACGTATGAATATATTAACTAATGAGGATATGAAAAGGTTATTAGACAGGTTACATGAGTTGAAAATAAGGTGCACTGATACTCATGTTGACCAAATATAATGGATAATCTTATTTCTCTCTCTCTCTCTCTCTCTATCTATCTATCTCTCTCTCTCTCTCTCTCTCTCTCTCTCTCTCTCTCTCTCTCTCTCTCTCTCTCTCTCTCTCTTCTTATAATGTTTATTGATTAAACATTAACAGAATTAACAAACCAACACATCATGAACTGCATCCTTTATACATATATCATATATATACCCTTTTATTCTATGACTAACTGACTGACTATTTAACAAAATATAACAAGTGAACTGACCTGTTGGTAGACCGTTTCGTAATGAGGAACATATTGAACTTTTGCATAACATCTCTGTCTTCGTCGTTTGTAGGTCGGCTCTGACACCACCTCTGACAACACTGCCAACAGCAACACTACCAACGAGATCAGCTTCATCTGGAAGTGATTTTATTTTTATTTTATTATTATTTTTTTGTGTGTGTGTGCGAAAACGGCGGGATTTTCATGTTTAGTTCAGGGGCAAGAAATTATGTTTATATTGTATGAATGTATGTATAGATATATAGGTAGATAGATAGAGGAGAATATGAATTATGAATTAATGATAATGCGACAAATGAAAATAAATTGAGAGAATAAAGCACAACAAAATTCGTAAATAAACAAAGAAAACTTTCATAACAGATAAGATACTGAACGACAGTAATAATATTGAACACTTATTAACTAATTAATACTGAATTCATCTTGCATTCATCTTCCTCCGAAAGCAGAAACCACAACAATAAAAAAATAAAAACATGAAACTAGAACGTAAGGAAATGAAAAGAAAAAGAAAAGAAAAAAATCGTTCAGCGCTTGAATGCCTTAAAAGTTCATCTTAGAATTTCTTTTTCCGGTCACGCTTTCGACGGCAAGAAGAAAGGGGGGGAGGGGGTAAAGAGAGGGAGAGGGAGGAGAGAGGGAGAGGGAAGGGGAGGGGAGAGGGAGAGAGAGGGGAGGGAAACGGAGGGTGAGAAGAGGAGGAGGAGACGGGAAGAGGGAGAGGGAAGGGGAGGGGAGAGGGAGAGGAGAGAGAGGGGAGGGGAACTGAGAGTGAGAAGAGAAGGAGGAGGCAGGGAGAGGTAGAGGAAAGGGTGGGGAAGAGGAGAGGATGAGGAAGAGAGAGAGAGAGGGAGAGAGAGAGAGAGAGAGAGAGAGAGAGAGAGAGAGAGAGAGAGAGAGAGAGAGAGAGAGAGAGAGAAAGACAGAGAAAGAGAGAGAGAGAGGGACAGAGACAGAGAGACAGAGACAAAGACAGAGAGAGAGAGAGAGAAAGGGAGGGAAGGAGGGGAGAGGGAGAGGAGAGGCTGGGAGAGTAAGAAAGGTAGGAGGGGAGAGGGAAGAGACGGGGAAAAAGAGAGGAGGAGGTGGGGAGAGGAAGAGTACAGGAAGTGGGGAAAAGGGAGGGAAGAGTTGTTGGTCGCGGGTACAGTAGTTGGGGAGGGTAGTGGGGAGAGGGTAGGGGGAGGAGGCAGAGAGAGGGAGGAGAGAGGGAGGGGAGAGGGAGGGGAGAGGGAGGGGAGAGGGAGGGGAGAGGGAGGGGAGAGGGTGGGAGAGGGAAGAGAGGTGTAGGTCGGTTAAGGGGGGGGAGTAGGATAGTAGTGGAGAAAACAGAGAAGAAAGAAAGTCAAAGAAAGGAGAGAGAAAGCGGAAAAAAGGATAAGAGGACGACGAAAGAAAGAGAAGAAGAAGAAAGACGAAAAGAAATGAAAATAGAGTGAAAAGATATGGGAAGAAAAAGGAAGGAGGAGAAAGTACCAGAAGGGGTGTAGGTCAGGGAGAGATAATGAGAAGGTATAAAAAAAGGAAAGTAATTGGAGCACGGGGGGGGGGGGGAGAGAGAAAAGAAAGAGAGGCGAAAGAGAGAAAGGAAAGATGGAGAAATTGGGGAGAGATAGGACTGGGAGAGAAGGAAGGAAGTAGCAAGGAAAGAGAAAGAGGGTGAGAGAGGGGAAAAGAAAACGAAAGTGTAAAGGAATGAGGGGAAAATGAAGAAATGAGGGATAAGGGGAGGCAAGAAGAGAGGGAAGAATATGGAAAATGGAAAAAGAAATCAAGGAGAGAAATGAGAAGAGAAAGAAAAAGAGAGAGGATAAAAGAAAGAGAAGAAAAGCCGACGATTAGAAAGAAAATGAGAAGTGACACGATAAAGAAAACGAAGAAACGACAAACAAGCAAAGAAAACGGAAAACCAACAAACACACGCACACGAAATAAACGAAGAAGGAAGAGCCAGCGAAGCAATAATAAAAAATAAAAAAATAAAAAACGGAGAAGAAGAAGAAGCATGTGAAAATGAACCAACTACTTCCCCAACACTTACCTTGCGAGGTCGTGTGTCTTTGAGCTTTCTCGAGGGGAGACTGACTTGAATTGGAATGTCTTTTGGCTTTTATACCGGTCGAAGCCTGTTACCTGCCGTGATGTGTAACCAAGTTGAGTGATTAGACAGAACTTTGCAGAGGAAAGGATTGGGTGTGTGTGTGTGCATTATTAGGGGGAGGGGGGGAGGATTGTATGTGATTGTGTGAGTGTGTTTGTGTGTATGTATGTGAGTGTGTGTGATTGTGTGACAGAACTTTGCAGAGGAAAGGATTGTGTGTGTGTGTGTGTGTGTGTGTGTGTGTGTGTGTGTGTGTGTGTGCATTATGAGGGGGAGGGGGGGAAGGGGGGAGGATGTCTGTGATTGTATGAGTGTGCTTGTGTGTGTATGTGAGTGTGTAGGTGTCTGCGTGTGTCTGATTGTGTGAGTATCTAACTATAATTATGTGCAACACGAGTATATGTTTATATGTGCATTATAAGTGCATATGTAAAAATATCACATTATAATTTTACCTGCATTTTGTATAGTTATAATTCCAGAAGACAACTAAATCATGATAAACATATGTCTGCAATTGAATGCAACAAACACAAAACCTACAGAAAGGGAATTTTCTCCTTGTGTGTGCAATCGTTTCTTTAGACATACATGAATGAACTACATTTTTTTTTCTTTTCTCTTCCCGAAGACTTATCGGTTTAATAGCAAAAGATTAACAGCAATCTTTCTCTTGTCATTTTATATAGGTCAGTGTTGTATATTTATGTATATTTGTGCTTGCATTAACGTACTAGTGAATTTCGTCAAAAATATTACTTATATATTTTTTTAATTGTTCTAAAACTTTTTTTCTGTGTGTGTGTCTGAATTTTTCATGTAATCTATCAATCGATTTATTTATGAATATTAAATATGAACGTATTTATTATGTATTCAGTTATCCATTTATTTGTTTTTGTTCAATTATGAACTCTATATCAAAGATGTGTGTTTGTTTGTAACGGAAATTGAGTAATTTTCCCCAAATAATTTTGCCCGTGTATATTTTGCTATTGTCGTTGTTGTTATCGATATTGTTGTCATTGTTGCTAGTGTTGTTGTTGTTGTCGTTGTTGTTGTTATCGATATTGTTGTCATTGTTGCTAGTGTTGTTGTTGTTGTCGTTGTTTTTGTTATCGTTAGTGTTGTCATTGTTGCTAGTGTTGTTGTTGTTGTTGATGATGTAAGCGTTGTTGTTGCTGTTACTGATGCTACTGTGAAATTGTTGTTAAAATTGTTCTTGTTGTTGTTGGTCTTATTATCATTCTCTGTTGTTGTTGCCAAGAGAACAAGAACACACAGAAGGACGACCACAAGCTTGATTATGGCAAAATATTGTGTCGTAAAAGAACACATGAAATTATGCCACGAAATTTATATGAATTGCTGCAACAAGTAGACAAATGAATCAATATATATAAAAACATACAGTAAGAAGAAAAAGATACAAAAAAATCCATTATAAAAAAAAACATTAAACATAATTGAACAAACAAACAAAATAAAAGAAACAAAAATCAATCATAATAATAAAATAACCCGCACCCCAAAAAAACAATGAAAATAACAACAATAACAACACACAACAATCATTAAAAAAAAAAATCACAATTATATCATATTATACCGCACCAAATAAATCATTCTAAATCTAGGGCGATAGGCTTAAGGATAATCACTAAGAATGACTAAGAATGACTAACGACCGGAGCTAAGTATAGGGCGGAAGCGCGTTATGACACAGGAGGTCAAAAGGCTTAGGGAAAACGTGTTTCTGGACAAGGTCACATACCCAATGACCTTGCTTGGTGGCAGAGCAAGATTGGTTCCTGAGGGATTAATTTTGCGTTAGAGAGGGAATAAAGGAGAGGGGGAAAGGGAGAGGGAATGGGAGGAAGGAGAGGGAAAGGGAGGGGGGAGAGAGGAGGAAGGGAGGGAGAGAAGGAAAGGAAGGGGGGGAGGGAAAGTGAGGGGGAAGGGGGAGAGAGAAAGGGAGGGAGAGGAAAGGAAGGAGGGAGAGGGAGAGAGAGAAAGGCAGGAGGAGGGAAGGAGAGAGGGAGAAAGGGGGGAAGGGAGAAAGAGAGTGAGAGAGAGAGAGAGGAGGAGGAAGGACAGACAGAAATACGGATAGAGAGAGAAAGGGAGAGAGAGAGAATGAAGAATGAGAGAGAGCGAGAGAAAATGGTTATCCTCTGCCCTTCTCTAATTCTGTCGAAACTTTTTTTTTATTCTAAATGTTCCCTTATGGTGCATTTCGCAAATGTCCCATCTAATCACCATCTAATTTGAATACATATATTTCGTATTTCATCGATTTTCTCACGATCTTGTTCATGTTGTTGTTGTTGTTGTTGTCGTTTGAGTGTGTTTAGTCACATTCCGTTTCCTATCTTGTGCTATCACCTTTTTCATCACTTTCCTTTTAAAATAAGATCACGAATTCACCTTTAACGAATTTTACGCAAGATGAATCTATTGACTTCG